GCTTAATAAGCTGAAGATCCACTGGCTATTGTACCTAGCGTCATATCGTAATAAAATCGTTACCTAAAAAATTTTGATATGTAGCTATCAACCAGCTATAGATTTGTAGATATTTTGTATCTAGCTACAAAGCTACGATATGTAGCTAGCGACACATTGCTACAAAATCGCAATGTTTAAAGTTCAATTATTTTCATAATTATAATAGACTCAAGACTAAAAATCGAATTTTTAAAGATGTTAAAGACATTTGCAAAGATTAAAATTAAAAAAAAAATCCCTTGAAAATCGCTATAGAGCTAGCTAGTCGCTAGCTAGTCGCTAGCTCATTTCCCACCGGATAATGAAGTCGGTAAAGGTGATGCGTAATAATCACGTGCCTCATAAAACATAAAGATGGGTAAGAGTTATTAGGTTTTTTTGATGTTCAAAGAAAAAAACTGGATTAATAAAAGTTTTTATAGCATAAAGGGACAGATACAGTAAAATGATGCAACTTGTTGAATAAGAAACCAAATAAGAATGAGTTTTGGTTTATTTTTATAGAGATGGTAGCTCGTTTGAACAATGACCATGATTGTATTTGTAGAAAAAAGAAAGAGATGCAACCTTACAACAATGGGAGAGTGGCTCAAGCTTGGCAGATAAAGCAGGTCTAATTACATTTAAAATGTGCTTTTAGACTTTGTATGATAGTAAGAGGGTTGTTATTCGTGAATATAGGTATGCTAACAATATTGCAAAAAAATTTTGCAATAAATATATGAGTTTTGTTGTCTAACAAAAATTGTTGATTTTAAGTCCAGAATTTAAATCCATAAGCTTTTGCAAGCCTGAGGTTGTTACAGAAGAGAGGTTAGATTTAAAATTGCCTGCTTGTTTTAGCAATTAAAAGTAAAGATTTTTCGTCAAGACAAAAGTATAAAGTTTAGATTTCATGAAAACTGTTATTCTAGATAAGAAACAATACAGGAGCAAAGATAAAAATTTGTGGTACCCTTGAAGTTACTTAAAATAAAGAAGAGGGTAGGCCTTCAAGAATAAATTTACTACTACAGTTAGAAAGAAATAGTTTAATAACCTCAAAACCTTTATATAAAGAAACTAATAACAGAGTGAAGACTAATCTTAGGATAGTTAAAGAGGTCAAAGTGTTTTCTAGAGTTTTGAAAAATTGGAACCACTTATTTAGCACTCTTTAAAAGTTTAGCAAAAATTGAAGAGATTTCTGAAAAACACTTTTTTAAGGCTATGATGGAAATCTATTCTGGAGCACAAACTGCAGTGTTAATTGAGAATTAACTTTAGGATTGGAAACCAGAGTAATTTCCACAATTAACAATAGGTTAAGCTGCTTAACTGTCAGGAAGAGTATGGCCATTATATTCAAGAGTCAAATTAGAGTAAGATTTCTTTTCAAATAACTCTGCTTTATTCTGGAAAAAAGATCAGATCCATGATAAGAGATTTAATGTTAGACTTTATTTAATGACACTGTTAAAGATTAACCAAAAGTAGAATGGGGCTTGAATTAAACTTGAAGAGAAGGAATAAAAGCTTCCAAGATGCGCTTTATGCATTCATATTATGGATATAAACATACATGTTTGCTATTTATTTAGGTGCTGGCATTCAGTATCCTTTCATATTTATATAAACTTTAATATTCATATGGTGTAGTATTTGCCGAAAGAGAAGATGATCAGATGGATGTGTGGTTTGAATCTAGCATGACAAAAAAAAGGAGGCATAATCTTAGACAGATTAGAAAAAACATTGTATTAAACAACGTTTGTTAGAAAAGAATAAAGTAATTTAGGTATCACCATATAGAGTGGTAGCAGCTTCAGTAGAAAATGGTAGTGGTAGAAGTAAGAAAACTTGAAGAGAGTGCCTTACACATTGTATGAATGAGCTTTAGTTAAGAAAAAAAAATGCTCTAGATTGTTTATATAAACAACATAAAAGAGGAAGGTTAAAGCCTTATCATGATGATGATGATGATCACCATCATCATCATAATCATGATGATGATCATCATCATCAGGCTTTACCCTTCCTCTTTTATGCTGTTGATGATGATGATCATGATGATCATGATGATAATAATGATGATAATCATCAATCATGTTGATCATAATGATATTTGAGCCGGGATAGCTCAGTTGGTTAAAGAGCCGGGATAGCTCAGTTGGTTAAAGCGCTGCTGTAAAGTTCGGAATAATTATTGGCCGTAGCAGCAGGATTGAAGGATCAAATCCCGGCTCCGCCTTCTCAGCGTATGAGTAGTACTTCGGTACGAAGGGAACTCGTCTCGATTAGCTCTGCTATTACGATGTTTCCTTCTCGACTAGTAAATAAATAATCTAATCGAGTAAAAGAAAATAATCGTATTTATATATGCATATAAATACAAAATATAATTTTGAATAAAAAATATATATTTTAGGATGTGTAAATGTTTATGCACCCCGGCCCGGGCTAAATTTTATCAAACCCGGCCCCGGTCAAATTTCAACCCCGGTCACTTACTAACAACAAAAATTTTTAATAAATTTGACAATAAAAAAAGTTGTCAAATTAGATACACTAAAGTTTGGATTATCAATTTTGTATGCCAGGATCCGAATATTTGAAAATTTATTGCACTTTTCCTATAATTGCCTATTAGAAAATGGCAAGTGAAATCAGAAAACAAAAAAAGCATTGTCAAGCAAAGAAAACTAGAAATACAATTGAATTTTAGAAAAAAAAAATAGGTTTATTTGTAGATGTAGGGGAACGCGGGGGCAACATGGCGAACCTTTTGAAAGCCCTGAGTTATTGCAAAACTATCAGTCGTGAAGCAATAATACTTTCTCATTATGTTTATGTTATTAAAATGATTCATTGCCTGCATGAATTTTCAGTTTGGAAATATAGTAACTTGAAATAAATATTAAAATAAAAAGTTCATAAATTTGCCATATGGTTACGTGACCGGGGCAAGATGACTTATTATGCAATTTTTGCATCCAATGTTATAAAATTTTAAAAACTACCATCAACTCTAAGTAAAGTAACACAAAATAAACACAAGTCGCAAAAAACTACTTCTAAAGAAGTTAAACTTGAAGAACACCATCCATTATGAGACCGAAACCGAAAACTGAGGAATTTTTTTTTAAGCGCAAAAAGTAAACTTATGCGTATAAAATTGTGTCAATAATATTTAAAAAAACCAATTGGAGTTTTAAAATACAAGATGCAAATACAGTTTCGCTTTTACTCTTTACTTTAATATTTAATGTTGAGTTGTTATATGAAAACCCATCTGGCCCCATTTGCCATGTTGCCCCGCTTTCCCCTACCAAAGTTTATTTGTAGACATACCTAAGTGACATTGCAATACCACTTTAAGATGATATATTAGGTTATAATCAATACATAGTATTTCAGCTACCAACTTTGGGTCGGCAAAAAATCGTCGGCTAATGTTACCATCATTTGAGTTACCAAATCCAGGCTTAGGTACGTCTACAATTAAACCTATTTTTTATATCTTATTAAACAGTTTTATATTATATAAAACTCTCTGGAAAACCTTCTTGCACTGTTTTGGCGTTAAAGACGAAAATATTTATTTCGCGCTTCAGCTGCTTCTTTAGATAGCTGACCAATAGGAAACAAAACATGCTCTATTACAATAAAACCATGAATAAGGATTTTATGCATTGCAGGGGTCATCAGATACCATGGATATAACTCAACATATAATTCCACAGTTTTTACAGTATATTCCCTAAATTTTTCGACATCAATTTTATGTTCGCTTAATATTATTTTCAATATTGGAAACAATATCAAGCAAACATTTTTTTTTTTTTTTTTAATGTTGATTTTAGGTGCCCTAAGAAGTCCTTACGGTCTTATCACAGAGCACCGCGGAAGAGCATTTAATAGGAAGTTCACGCCTCCTTCCCAACCGATATCGCAAAACATTCCCAGAGGTGGGGTTTGAACCACGGATCTTACGTTTCTGAGTCAAGTGCACTACCACTACGCCACGGCTGCTCCATAAAATTACATAAAACATAAAATTATTGTCGAAAAATTTTGTTGTAGAAAAATTTTGTTGTTTTTTCTTTTTAATATTTCCCATAGCATAATAAGAGTTGTATAGTAATTACGAGCGCTTTCCTATTCTTTAAAACAACACTAAATCAAGGTTTAGATTCTTTAAAATAACACTAAACCAAGGTTTAGATTCTTTAAAATAACACTAAACCAACGTTTAGATTCTTTAAAACAACACTTAACTATCAATGCAGATTGAAAGTTAGGATAATAACTAACTTTGAATGCAGATTGAAAGTTAGGATAAGAATAATTCAATTTTCCACCAGGTATAATAGATTATAACCAGGTAAAACAGGTTTATTCTTATTTTGAGCATTAGCGCTATAGCAAAATGTTAAAAAAAAAGAAGGATTCTATTATACATATATTTTTTAAAAATCTTTTTTCCTTTTTATCTTTTTATTCCGATTTCTACTTGCCTCTCCTATAACAATCCAATATTTTTTCAATTAAAGGTTAAAAAATATTTTTGGCGGTCTAAATCGATCAAATACCCTACTGTGCGTGTTAAAATGCACTGAAAATGCCGAGCTGTAAATGACTATCGCGCGGGAAAAATCAATATTAGTAAACCAAATCATGATACTTATCATTTAGTATAGTATGGCTTATATATTATTAGTTTAGTATAGTTATTATTTAGCATAATAAAATATTACGTTTAAGATATAAGTTCATCTATAGTCTAATTAAACATTTCATATAGATTAAATTTTATTTTCTATATATTTTATAGTATAAAAATTTTCGACAAAATGTTAACGTTTTTATAAAAAGATTTAATTTGATACTAAAATCCATATTAAACAGCGCCTAAATTACATAAATAATTTTGTTTTACATTCTTCTAAAATACTCACGAGAATTTCTTTTTTCGTACATAAAAACCACACACAACTTTTATTTCTGTTAAAAGCTTTTACATGAAACAGTTTTTATAAAATTTCATCATACAAATTATCGAGTAAAGCATTTTACCTATTACAAAAAAAAAAAAAAAAAAAAAAAAAAAAAAAAAAAAAAAAAGTAGATTAGAAAATTTTATTTTCTACTTCTTTTTTTAACACTTTAAATTGTTCTAAAGGTATGTGTGGTTTTAAAGTTATTGAAAAGTTTTAATCTCGCTCACAAGTCGCATTCAATCCAATCATTTCTGTAACTTCAAAATCTCCTGCTAAATTTAACGTAACATATTAAAACCATTATTCAGTTAGCAAAAACGCACCAAAACGTCTAATGAATTAGTTTAGAAACACGATCGATTATTTTTTACACTAATTAAGTTCATTAAAATTGTTTCACAAACGTAACTAGTGTATTAGAGCAAAAACGCAAAAAGGACATTTTATTTAATAATTGCGAAGATTTGGATAATATTCTGCACCAAAACGGATAAAAATCTACGGAAAAAGATTACAAAATACAGCACTTGTTTTTTCCTTGTTGAGTGTCATTGTTCCTCGAAGCTTCAGTGCGATTCTGGGATTGACTTAAATTTTCCTGAGGATTCTGATAAGAATGCTGTTGAGGGTATGATGCAAGCTCATTCTCTTGCGTCTGCAAGCTAGCTGCTAAGGCGCGATCAGAATCGCTATAGTCATTAGAAGGGCTTCTCGAATACAGACCTTGTTCATCGTGCTGCATCTGCAATGCTATTAAATAATCGCGGTCTTCTTGGCATAGAGACTGTCGTTTTGAAAGTGTAGGAGACATGCTTTTTGATGTTTGTTTATCACTTTCAAAAACTACTGATTTAAACTCTGAGTTCACAAACTGACCATCACCTTCTATATTACTAAAGGTCTCCCAAATAACAGCTGGTTCAGTAAGAAACCCCTGGTCTGTTACTAGTATAAATAATTCACCTTTGTGTTTATATAATGTTGAAAAATGATTATTCCTAAACAAAACACACAGCTCCTCTTCTTTTATAGTTAAATTTAATTCACAAAGACCATGGTAAGTAAGTTGACTTGCAGTTCGAGAAAGAAAATCCTCTATTGCAATACTTTCGGCTAGACTTTCACTGTCATCTAAACAAAGGTTATTAAATAATACGAAAAATAAAAAATAAGATAATTACAATAAGTCATAAGCTCACAACAATCATTAAACTCGCTCACCACTTTTGCTAATAATTTTGTCTATGAGTTGATTATAACTGAAGCCATTTACTGCTTTTAATGTAACTTCATCTTGAGGTTCAACTAACCAACCATGATAAAGACCAATTCGAAGCAAATCAAAAACAATGCACTCTCGAGTAAACTCGAAATCTGTGACTCCTAAAAAAAAATTAAATTAAATTAACAAATAACTTAATTATAAATATATACAAACGTAAAAAATTTGTTGAAATATTTGTTTAACAACTCTTTCAATTATGATTTAATTTATTATTGTAAATTTTTTAACTAAGTAAATATATAAATGAAAAAATGAAATAATTAAAAAAATTGAAATACAACCAAATTACAAATCATAATAAAAACATAAACAAACTAGAGACTTTCAACAAGACTGCCAGCAACCACTATTTTAGCTGAGAGTCACTAGAAAGTGAAGAAAAAAGTTAAGAAAACAAGTTTTAAAAGAAAAAGATCGCTATCAATCAATGACTTACAATACTTAGAGAGAGCGCTATCAATCAACGACTTATAATACTTATAATACAAAGACCATTGTAAAAGAAATACAAGATAAATGTTGAAATCATGGTATGTTCTGAACAGCTAAAAAAAAACAAGATAAACTGAACACAATTCATAGTCAGAGGTAAGACACAAACCAAGAAGCAAAAGTAAGTGTTGTCTGAAAAATGAGTTGTTCGACAAATAAGTCACTAATATAACTATCCAGTTGAAACATTAAATGAGACACTAGTTTTGAACTTTAGTCCCAGCAGGGTCCGTGGTACTAAAGCTAACTCAGCCTATGTATAATGAACATTCAAGTCAACAATAATAAAAATATTGGCTTAGGGATTAAAAGATAAAGCTCGGTCAATTTGATACAAAATGACATCAAAAAGAGCGCAGCCTTGAAGAGAACAATAAAAAACAAAAAGAAAGTTGAGTGAAGTGGTGCTAAATAAAAGCACATAGAATTTTCAAAGCTAATAGTCCTTTATCGGGTGATGCGTAAGTTATCGGAAAAAATAAAAAATGTCAATAACTTATTTATAAATGAAAAAAAAACTATTTTTTTTTTTTAATAAAGTATTTATCTTTTAATAAAAATAAGTTATTTTTTAAATAAAAAAACACCACCATCTGCGATTGATTTCAATTTTGCTCTGACGCCTTTCATAAGCGACTGTCAAAAATTTAAATTGATTTCTTAAAATTTTAATTTAACTCGATCAATCAAAACTTGCTCTGTTGAAGCTTGCTAATCTCACTCATAAACCTTCTGTGCCAAACGTTTCTAAAACTTTTCAACTGGTCATGTTTCAGGCACAATTTAGAGAACTTTTTTCTAAACATTCATCAATATAGATCAATGAACTGATTGCTACAGTCTTGGAAGTGCGAAACAATAGCTTGGACATACCATGGTCAGATATGGCTATCCACATTAATAATTTTTTTGGAAATTTCTTATTTCCTATAAAACGAACACTTTTACGGGCATGCTCTTTTGTTGTTTGTGAAGTATCCAGAATTTCCAGGCTTGTTGTCCCTTGCAAAACAAAAGTACTTTTTGCCATCAATGACCAGAAGCAATTTTGTGCTAAAAGGTTGGTTAACCAGCTTCCTGCTTCTTTTCTTTGCTTTTAATTGTCGTTCCATATTGTATTTTGGAGTCTTTTCACATTTTCTATATTTAATATCATTTTTTTAATTGTCGATTGATTTGCGCCGAATCTAAAACCTATTTTTCTCTGATTGACTCTTTTTCGATTGTTGACAAGTCTCATTAAATCCAATTTCTTTTTTCTAATTCAAGATGTCAGACAACCAGGGCGCTTTTATCGGAAAAGGATTGAAACAGTTTCAAGTCTTTTTAGGTTATCATTTATTGCTTTTCAAGCAAATCCTTCCTTTTCAAAATGATTTACAATTTCTTTTTTTTTATATTAGGTTTATTTATAAAAAACATTTTGAGTTGCTTTCGAAAAGATTCTCATTCAGCTGCATTTAACTTCATTTTAAATAATTATGTTTCAAATAATAAAGTTTATTTTTTATAGAACGTTTATGCCTATGCATAAAACCACAAAAACAAACTATTATGTTCAAATAAGTAAATTCAGATTTGTCTGATAACTTCCGCATCACCCGTTATATGGTCAAAAGCACTAATAATAACATGCACGTACAAACTCAGAACCATTAAATTGAGTTTTAGTTTTGTACCCTAGCTAGGAGTAACATGGTAAGCTTCATATCAACAATAGTAAATGAGCTTTTTTAGATTTTTTAGTTTTCTTTTTTGCACATTTCTGAGGTGACTATAGGTGACAGTAGAGCTCTTCAAAATAATTGATATTTGTATCTACCAATTGACAAAAAAAAATTTTTTTTTTTTTTTTTCGTATCTTTTTTCCAGATAAAGGTAAAGATATATTTTTTCAAGTTCTCTGAAAAAATCAGTAGATATCATCAAAAGTGTGTATATACCAGTGCCATATATGGATTTCAATGAAAATAAAAAAAAAAGAAGTTAAATTACAATACATGGAATTTGAAAGGGATTAGTGTTGCCATGTATTTTCATCTTTTTAATGCACTATCACTTTATGATCTTTATGATGGAAGATAGCATTTAAGATTTCGAAGCATTTTAGTAAAATCTGGCAGATTGGTTTTTTTCAATAAGCTCATTTTATATGATTTATCTGGGGAAATTTATAAAATTATTGAATCATCAGCTAGTGTTGTCTCTCTTTATTGTGCTTGCTATTTCCCTACACCTTTTCTATACTTCTATCTCATCTTTGTATGGTATCTTCTATACCTCTATAAATCTCTTATTCGTCTTTGTATGGAACACTGTTGTGATATTTGGGCTGGTTCTTTCTATGAGAACCTCTCTTTTAGACAAGGTCTGAAAATGTATTGCAAAAAAACACATGTCTTGGAAGCTAGATTACAATTTGCAAAAAAACACATGTCTTGGAAGCTAGATTACAATTTGCAAAAAAACACATGTCTTGGAAACTAGATTACAATTTGCAAAAAAACACATGTCTTGGAAGCTAGATTACAATTTGCATGTCTTGGAAACTAGATTACAATTTGCAAAAAAACACATGTCTTGGAAGCTAGATTACAATTTGCATGTCTTGGAAACTAGATTACAATTTGCAAAAAAACACATGTCTTGGAAGCTAGATTACAATTTGCAAAAAAACACATGTTTTGGAAACTAGATTACAATTTGCAAAAAAACACTATTTGTTGAAAAAAATATATATTTGATGGCTATCAATATTACTGGCACGAGTTTCAAAAAAAAGGAAGAAACTCGAATGAGTCGTAACTTTGGTGGTAACTGTAACGGGGGACTTTTTCCTTTACTAGAAAACTTTCACTGACATGGATTTATGGCAAAAAATAAATTCACAGGACTTCATTGACTTACTAGCAATTAGTTTGATTAAACATGATGAAGAATGATGGGTGAAGATTTCACTTTTCAACAAGACAATGCTGCTATCCATAATTCAAAGTTTGCAAATGCTTGGTTTAGAGAAAAAAGTATTCTTGTAATGAAGTGCCCGCATGTAGTTCAGATCTAAACCCAATTGAAAATCTATGGAGAATACTTTCTAGAATGGGTTATGAAAATGATAAGCAATTTGAATCCATTCTAGCTGGAAACTTGTATCAGAGAAGCTTGAAATGAAATATCTTCAGAAAACATCCAAAACCTTGTGACTAGTATGTCAAGTCACATATTTAAAGTCATTAAGATTTCATAAAGCAATACTAAATATTAAATGAGCGTAAAAACAAAATATTTTCAGTATTATTTTTTATATAACGTACATGAGGCTAATTCTGTTTTATCCATAAATATTTAATACATAAAAAATTAAATGCTTTTAATTTTTTTTCTAATTGAAATTAATTAAACAAACCAATTTATAAATTTTCTAATTGTAGTAGAAGATAATAAGAAATATAGTAGATATAAATATTGTTTCACTGTCTTTCTTGTTAAATTAGAACAAAAAATAATGGTAAGGCTAATCCTATATTCTCCACTGTATAGTAAATGACCCACACTACACAATCTAATTAAACAAAAAGTTGAGTATCTTTGATTATAATGGGGAGAAGGACAAAAAAATTTTTACAAAAAAACATTGTTTTTTGTAAAATGTTAAAGTTACAAAAATATATACTTACAGGGACAAAAAATGAACAGGGAGATTTTTATGTACTTTTGTGATTTTTGTGTATTTTTTTGTGTTTTGTCTGTGCAAGTACACACTTTTTTGCAACAAAAAACTATCCTCGTAAGCAACTTTTAGGAAAAGTGAAAAAAACATGCATCGACTGACAAATAGGTAGAACATGCAAGGAAGTGCTGCTACTTTGATTGAGGGTATAGGTTGGAGCAGGGTTATGATTAGGGTTAGGTTGAAATATGCTTATATTTCGCTAAATAATTTTTGTTCATAGATATAAAAATAAATATAACTTATAACTACATAAAAATAACAAAAATAGATACATTTTTATAGCAAAATATTAAATTTAAATATGTGTAAATAAAAATTGACAAAGAAAAAAGTATAAAAATAATATATTAAAAAAAATATATAAAAAGTTGTTTACAGGAATAAAACCTTCAACAAACATATATTCTATACTTTAATGATTTCCCTAAAAACATTATATGAAAAAAAAAAAAAACACAACAAAAAAACAAAATAAAACATAAACAACAAAACAAAGCAAAAAACCTAAAATAAGATATTTGAGCCTTGATTAATATTAATACCTGGAAAGTTGTTTCTGTTTTTAAAGTTATATTTAATATTCATACATAATTTCTAGGGAGTTTGCATAATAACTGCTTTTGAATATCTGTTGCCTTATATATTTTGATTACACATAAAATTATAAAATAATTATAAACTGTTCCAATACTTATACGTACTAATCTATCTTAATAAAATCCTCATTTGTTATTATCAGCCCTCGCAATTAGGAAAAATAGAGTCAGCATCAGGTTGGCATGTCTATTTTGAAACAGGATTTGAAAAATTGATAAAGCTGTGAACATTTTGCATAAAATTTGCAGAAAACAAATGCTGAGTACACAGACTTTT